CGGTAAAGTGCGCGCTCCTGTTGCGCACTTCCGGTGGGCTAGCTTTGTCAATTGATTTGTCAATTTTTGTTTTGCGGACTGAAGCCTCTCCCTAAATCCGTGCGTGATATCTTCCTGGCATGGAAGCACAATAGTCCCTTGTCCAATGTGTTATTAATAACAATGTTGGACAAAAGGGGTCGTCAGCCTCTCAACCACCAATGGACTCAGCAATCCACCACTGATGGAGTTTCTGATACTCATTAGATAGGCTGAGAAGTCTGCCTATGACATCTCCCTGCAGCAATAAGCTCCATGCGGATGCAAGCATGTCCAGCAGGAGTCGTATAATGAGCCTGAGCAATAAGGCGTTATAATCAGTGTGACTATTACTGTCATAGCGAGAATAGTTTACTGGGCAATGTTGCAATTTACATCACGTTTTTGCTAACAATATTGCTATACATGCTAAAACAAAATATTACAACAATGTTTCATTATCAGGATGAGCGGTGCTTTGTAATACACAAAACATTCTTAAATCGGCCAGAGTTAGAGTAAATGCCAGAGTAAATCAGAAAATCCTATTAACAGGGCAAAAAAGAGGTTTTGGTTATATTTGGTTCTCCACTCTGATAAGCAATCGTATACGCGTGTGCCATGGCCATATCTCCCAATTCATTACTTCCTTGCTAAAACATATATGCGACCATGGAACTATATATATATATATAGTTCCATGATGCGACATAGTGATACAATTTACCACAAGAGAACTGGTGATGGTTGTGAACCATAACTGCCTTAGCACAAATGCCGTTGTGTAATACCAGGGAATGTAAAGGGAAATGTATTGTAGTGTTACCTCTGTGTAATTTACAATATATCTGGGAGTAGAAGCAAAGCTACGCAAATTTTGCGAAATAGTAGTTAGTTAGAATTACCGGACATTGTGGGATATAAAGAAGTGGCCTATTAACCCATAAAACATACTCGCACATACCCATACATGTCTTATTGTGTGGGGGAAAGCTGTCATGTACACATTCATAATAACTGGAAATGGTTTCACAACAGAAAACAAGTGTTATTGCTGTAAATAATTATGAACAATAAAAACTGAAATTTAGAAAAACTATGAACAAAACATAATGAAAGTCTGTGATTTTCTGTACTGTTTCCATGAAATTATTAACTGAGATTCACTTCGAGTATACAATTGCATACGAGTCGTCAAAACGTACAGTTTGGTGACATAATTCAAATTTCGTATAGTTCAATATGCATAAAACCACCCATATACTTGTACATTTTGCCTATAAACCCCTCTTTCACATTGTGCAAATACAAACAAGACACTAAACCTTCCTGATAGTAACATGTAAGCGTTGTATAAACCCGAATGAAAAGTCTTGAGTCACGGCGAATACTTCTATCGAGTAGCCCATTTAAAAATCTCTTCAACTATCCAAGGCCAATCACTAATGTGCGGGGTCATTAATTAAATAATAATAATTTTATTAACACTTTATTAAGCACATTCCCCGGAGGGGTTTGCAATGGCTACAAATTTAAGAAAGAATAAAAGGTTAACATAAATAAATAAATAAAATAAAATAAAAACATACAAAAAACTAAGCTAATACATTACTGTAACAGAGAAAGAAAATATTAAGACTAGATTATTATACAATAAAAAGATAGAAAAAATGCAAAACTTAACTGGGGAAGAAAATTGTCACTGGGGTTGCTGTCTTATTTCAAAACACTTCTTTAGGCACCTTGCTACAGGAAGTGTTAGACCACTGTTGTTTAGCAAGACTATGAATTGTGTCTTTGGTAACAAATTTTTAAAGTTTTGGTTTTTGGCATTTCAAATAAGACATTTCTATCGGGGGTATAACTTTTGCATGGCATCATGAGGTAATACTCATCTTCTACTTGATTCTGATCACAAAGGTTACATAATCCATTAGCAAGGGGTATTCCGTTGTGTCTGTCAGTCTCAGTTTTCAACTTGAAGTTATGGTCACTGTGGCGGAATTATTTAAATTTTCGCTCATCTCAATATATTGCAGGATAACAAGGTAGGTTTCCAAAGCAAAATTGTTTTTTTGAATTCTCTGTATGTTCTTAATATATTTATATTTCATTTTGTTTTGATTGATTGTCGTTTTGTAATTCACTTTTCCAAGTTGATATAAATGATGTTTGTATATTTTTATTAATTTGCCCTAATTGCCTTGCTGTTAGAATTTCATTGTTGTCAACCAGGTTAGACTGGTTGACGTTATTCAAAGGGGAGTCTACCATTTACTATTAATTTCTTAATAATAATAATAATTTACTATTAAACTCGAAAACATCGTAATGTTATTACTTCTACACCAGGTAACGCCAATTAAAACCAATATCATTTAGAAGTACTGTGGCGAATGACATTGAAATCTGCTCTTCCATAAAGCAGCAGTTTCCTCTTTTAATAATCAAAACTATCCTTGATACCCTGGAGAAGTATATCCATTGTTTCACAA